CCCCCTTCGGCGGCGCCAGTACCCGAGCTCGGCTGGGCTGCAGCAGCTGCCCGCGCGCCGGCAGCCAACTCTCCCTCTGCAAGCAAATGTGCTGCTGTAAACCACCAGCGGGGTTTTGCATTTCACTTCCCGTCTGCTTTGGATCGTGTAACCGAGCCCCCAGACTCCCCACCTCTAACGATGATGCTTTACAACGCCGCAGACCGCATCCCAACGGCAAACCCTCCACCCCGGCAGAGGCGTCAGATGCGCTTTTCCCTCTGCTTTGCTAAAATACAAGAGAAAGTAACCCGGTTCATGCTCTGCCCCACCTCTCTAATATCGGAGTGCTCTGTAACCCAGCCTGAACCCTTCTTCCCTGCCCTGCCTGCAGATCCTCAGCAGACAGCAGTAACGCCCCGACACCAGCAGCCCTCGGCTTTGCCGAGTACTTTGCTTTGCGTGCCACCCAAAAACGGGTGTTTTTCACGAGCATCTCTCCACCAGCCACTCCATTTGGACACGACTCCACCGTGACACAGGAAGGCAATCTCAAAATGAAGTGGGACAGTCGCCTCCCATGTCCGCTGGCCAGGAACACAACCCCTCCCGATGCTCACCAAAATTTCATTCCAGGGAAAATGAAGGCCATGACCAGAAACCTTAACAGGTCACGTCTGTAGCTGGCTGCAGTCGTGTGACGAGACGGCCACAAACCAGTATCTGATGTTGGAAACCTTCAAAAAAAGGTGAATGCATGGCTTTTAAACCCACAAAACAACATCAGCCAAGGCTCCTAATTGTCCTGAGCCTTATTAATACACTTTACTCTTCCTAATTGTGTCTGACAAGGGGTGCAGAGGGAAGGATTTTCCTTTTAACTGTTCCAAACTCTTCTTATAAGGAAACTTTTTCCAAATGAGTCACGCTGCAGAGGCTTTTAAACGTAGCGCTGTTGAGCTGGCTTCTTCCTGTGGCATTTTTCCATGTTTACACAGCTAAGGAATGTGAGGGTGCTTCAGAGACAAGATACGTGGGCTTCAAACCATTTAAGTGGCAGCACGTTGGTGTTTCACCTTCAGCTGCAAGGTTGGCGGTGAACAGGCCGTCGCCGCGTGGCAGAGAAAGGCTGTGACGAGACATCCACGCCAGACCAGAGGCATTAAGCCTGATCTTGCCTAATTGCACAGGAGACTTTGATGATCTTTGTAACTCTTAACACACAAGTCTGGAGTTCTTTGTTTTACGGTTCTTCCAAGTTCCAACCCCAGATTAACAAACATTTTATCTGTTACTCAAAGAAACGCATTAAAAAGGAGTGAACAACAATCCCAAATCCAGCCAATGTACCGCGCTTCCTGAGCACACTCCCAAAGCCAGACAAACAGGGCATGTTGGCTCAGGATTCTTGCCCATGGGGGAGCTCCTGGGGACAGAATTCCCCCAGGAAAGCTCAGCTCCCTTGCAGAAGGCGGCATGGGGGAGAGGCTGGGAGCTCGGAGGCAGCTTCTCCTTGGCACTGCTTCCTCACCCTGCATCTACGCTGTTACACCAAAGCAGGCACCATCTACCTGGTGAGATTTCATGGCAGAACTGTGAGCGAGTCAAGATTAGATTTTCACCAGTCCCTAAGGTTGTGTTTATACAGTTGCTGCATAACCAGAAAGAAATGAACCCAAGGAGCGGAGTATATTTTAGGAAATTAAACTTTGGCATACATGGGGCTGAGGCATTCTCCTCTTACAGACGCTCACTCACTGAGAAGGCCTAATCCAAGGGGTTGGTAAAGCCTAGCTTTAGGCAGCTGAAATTATTTGGCCTCTTTCATGCTTATAATAAGCATGCCTGAATCCATCCTTGGCCAGAGACCAGAAGGCCTGGTTCTTGTCCCACTCTGTTCATCACTCCGCCCTCTCCAGAGGCAATCGCTCCTCGCTGGTGGGTTTGCTGCCGTACGGGTTACAGGTCAAACTGCCCTTGAAGCAGAGGCTGAAACGGGGCTACATTAAGGGCAAGTGTGAAGCCTATAGCCTTGTCTCTTCTGAGTTTATCGGGGAGCGGAGAGATTTAAGTGAGCTCACCTCAGCTTCCAGCCTTGCCTCTGTGCTTCTTCTGTCTCCACTAGAACCGGGACGCTATGATCGACTACCTCAAAGACGAGCTCCAAGAGATGAAGGCCAAAGCAAACACGGAGAGCTCCTACACGAAGAAAAGCACAGACCTCCAGGTCCACCAAACCCAGAAGAAGTGCAGCAACGCAGAGAGTGTCCTGGACAAGGAAATTCAGGTGAGCCCTTCCCCATGGCCCCTACTGGAAAGCAGCTCCAGCTAGTAAGGAAGGAGTCCTCCCTCTTTCCCCACACGCCCTTTCTGTCCTCCATCACGGTTACCACAACCGTTTGAACTGGATCAGGAAACTCACCCAGGTTAGAAATCTTTCTCTCTTCTCTGTACGGTCCTGCCAACTGCAGGAGACAGCGGCTGGAGGCAGGGACCGCTCAAACTACTACCACTCAGAGCACCATGCCGTCCCCACATTCAAGGGGCGCAGTTACCAGGCCACTGCCCACAGCGGGGCTGTTGCACGCCCATAAGCTGAACTGGGCTAGAAAACAGTTCTGGTTTTGCAAGCTTTTTTTTTTTTTTGGACCAATGAAGGCCTGACCTAGTTGTCCCTTCTCCACGGATGGCCCAGGGGCAAGGAGAGCCTCAGTTAATTTTGTCACTGGGGAAAATGTCTGCGGGCTACGCGGAGAGCTGCTGCGCTCTTGCTCACCAGCTTTCACCTGCACGTGCGTGCACACGCGTAGGCACTAACGCTGCCCCTCGTGTCTTCTGGCTGCGCTGATCGCAGGACTTGAGGAGGAAAACCGACGAGGAGATTCGAATCCACATGGAGACGGAAAATTTCCTCAGGCAACAGCATAAGGTACGTGTGACTGCCTGCTCGTGCCTGAAATAGCGAGCGATAAACGTGAGAGCACCACTCAGTGCCTACAGAAAACCAGTTAT